CCAAAATTCGGTTTCAAAAAAAAAACAACCTATTCGCGCTTCAAACAAATGAATAGGCACAATTTCTTTCCTTTGTCCCCTCAAAGGCGGGTGAGGGGCATGGGAGGGCAGGGTCAGAACCTAGGGGTGGCAGAGGCTGGCTGTCCCCATCCCTTTGATCCCAGACTGAGGCCGACCCTCACCACTCAGCAGCCTTGTGATGCCCTCCCGTCTCACCTCGATATCTTTGCTGAGATTCCCTTGGGAAGGGAGGGCCCCATCTATAGCGGAAGAAACCTTCTGGGCCCCAATCCAGCCACATCACAAGACTGGATAACCCAGCCACGAGATGAACATGTCAGTGGCTTCCATGGCCAGTGGGAGAGGCTTCGCCCGGCTCATGTTCTGCTGTGGTTGTCGGGCCAAACAGATGGCTCGGGATAAACAGGGGGTGGTGTTGGGTGGGGTGCTGGGGGAGGGTGGCTTTGAATGGCCCCAACCTCCCTCTGGATCCTAGGGAAAGAGGCGGGTGAGGTGTCGGCAGGGCCTGGGGAGGGGGCAGTTGCTTGGGGCCTTCCGAACTTGTTTGTGATGGCTTTTCAGCAATAGAACTCTTGTTCAAACAAACTATTACAACACAAGAGACAGAGAAACAGCAAGCTGCTCCAGCCGACAAGGGGTGAGAAGCCCAAAGCCTTCCCTCCCTCCATGCCATGTGGCAGACACCCCAGGGAATCCTGGGTCTCAAGAGAACACTCCGATCCCGTTAACACATAGTCTTTATATGAAACCACGTGGGAGCCCAACACATTCTGTCTCCTCTTTGAGCCTCACAGTGGGCTCCGGAGGCCCAAGGAGAAACCTGGCAACACATCAAGCTCTAACCTGAGATACCAGCCTCATTCCACAAAGCGAGACAGCCTCTGCTTACCCCTCACCAGCCAAGTACTGGGGTGCTGGCCAAGGGGAGAGATGGGCCAGGGTGTGGGTGGGCTGGAGGAATCTGAGAAGGACAGGCACTGCGGTGGCCTGGTCTCTGAGCCTGCCGGGGCTCCCTTCCAGAGGGGAGCTGGGAACTCAATCTCACCCTCCCTCCCTTCCTCCCTCTGGAACAGTCTTGCCCCAGGTGGTTCATAGGTAGTTACTGACCTAGGTCCCTCTCCTTCCTTAAGAGACAGTGAGAAACCGGTGGCTCAGCCTGTAATCCCGCGCCTTGGGAGGCTGAGGTGAGTGGATTGCCTGAGCCCGTGGGTTCGAGACCTGCCTGGGCAACTTGGCGAGACCTCATCTCTACAATAAATCAAAAATTAGCTGGGCGTGGTAGCGCGCGCCTGTAGTTCCAGCTACTTGGAAGGCTGAGGCGGCAGGATCGCCGGCGCCCAGCAGGTCGAGGCCGCGGTGGCCGGGAGCGGCCACTGCACTCCAGTCTGGGCGACAGAGTGAGACTCCGACTCAAAAAAAACAAAAAACAAAAAAAAGAGACAGTGAGAAAAGGAATCTCACCCTCCCCTCCAGAACACTCCACATAGCACTTCTTTCAAACCCAGATTCTGGTTCTTAGCACAGCCAATTTGTAGGACCCTTTCTGTATTTTCCCTGTAGTCCTGCTGAGTTAGTTTCTCTAACCAGAGAATGGGCCCATTTTTGGCTGAGGGATGGTGTGTGGAGACATGTATAAGGAAATAAATAAAGAGGGGGGCAAATAACTTTCTTCTGAGCTTGGTGTCTTATCCTCACAGTGGGCATCGCCGTGCATACTCCACAGGGCTACTTGGAGGATTCAATGAGATCACGTGTATCAAAGCCTAACATCACGGGAGCTCAGAGCAGAAGCAATTCCATACACAGAAAGGGTATGGCTTTCTCCTTTACCTGATGTGTCACCTCAGATGAGGCATTTTCCCTCTCTGAGCTCCAGTTTTTTTAGCTGTAAAATGAGCATGTTAATTTTTTTTTTTTGATTCGGAATCTCACTCCATTGCCCAGGCTGGAATGCCGTGGCACACTCACGGCCACCCCAGGGTTGACTTGCTGGGCTCCAGCGATCCTTCCGCCTCAGCCTTCCAAGTAGCTGGAACTACGGGCGCACGCTACCATACCAGACTAATTTTTTCATTTATTGTGGAGATGAAGTCTCATGATGTTGCCCAGGCTAGTCTCGAACATGCAGGCTCAGACAATCCTCTTGCCTCGGCCCCCCAAAGTGCGGGGATTATGGGCTTGAACCACCATGCCCGGACTATTTTTTTTCTTTAATTAAAAAAGGGGCATGTTCATATCTATCCTTCACAGTTGCCATAAGAAATAGAGATAATTTACATAAAGTACTTAATATAGTGCTTGGCATAAGGAGAGTACTCAAAATATGGTAGTAATACTTGCAGTTGTTATTACTTTTACTATTGTTATTTTTATTATTAATTTAACTAGGAGGACTGTGTGCTTTTGTGGTTAAGCACATAGACTTTGCAGCCGAATTGCCAAATTTAAATTCCAATTCACTACTGGAGCCGTGTGCTTTTGAGCAAGTTACTTAACCTCTCTGTGCCTACAGGTCATTAACCGTATAATAATTGTACTTACCTCATGGAATTGCTGTGATAATTAAGTTATTGTATATGGCGCCCTTTGAAGAGCGCCTGTCAAGTAGTAAATGCTACACACGTTTGCTGTAGCTATTATTAATAACATCAAGATTTGTATTATCACAATGATTAACAAAGCAGGCTCTGTGGAAGCCTTCTCGGATCCGATTCAACTACCCACAATCCAACAGATCCACCATCCTGCTAAGGGTTTGGCCCCTGGGACCACGCTGTGCGACCTTGGGCACGTTCCCTCCCGTCTCTGAGTCTGCTTTTATTTATCTACAAAATGTGAATTCTAATACGACCCACCACGGTCCTTTTAGCTTGTTAGGCTGCACAATCAACGAGGATCCGCGGGAAGCGTCTAGCTTCCAGTTAATTCGTCCCGGGTCCCTTCGCCCTGCCTCCAGGCAGCTCCCCACCCGCCCCAACCCTCCCCCACCCCCGCGGGAGAGCGCTCGGATTCCCTCCTGCTGGGTGCGAGGGGGGGCTGTCCCGCGCCCGCTGCCAGGCCCTATTTCTGGGGGCCGAGCGATCCCGAGGCCTTGCCAAGCTTCCCCGGGGATCAGGTTTCTGCTGACGCGGTGCCAGGCACGTCTGCTTCCAGGAACCGGCAGCCGCATTTAGCCGCGGGCCGCACATGAAAGGGCTGCAGTCGGAAACGTGACGTTGTGTCAACAGGCGAGGCAGGTCAGCGCTGGGTGAGACCATCCCGGCAGGCCCGGCGGATCACGCCCTGTCTGAAGGCGGCCAGATCCCCAGCCTCCGCTCCCCTGCTTCCCGCCACCTCTCCTGGGCCAGAGCCAGCGCTCCAGCCCCTCGCACCCGCCACCGCGTCTCGAAACAGAGGTCTTTGTCCCCGGGGGCCGAAGCCTGGGGTGCGCGCCCCTCCCCTGCCCCGCCTTCGGAGCGCGCTCGGATCCTGCTGAAACCGGGCTGCAAGGAAGGTCAAGGGCAAACTGGAAGCCGAAAGCGAGGCGGAGGGACAGCTGCGACTTTGGGGGGGCGGGGCGGGGCGCTTGACAGGTGCAGGTTCCTGTAGGGGGATTCTGGGTTGACACCCTTTTTTTTTTTTTTTCAGTTCAGGTTGCTCCCACCACTTCCTTCTGTCCCCACGGCCACTCCTTGAATCGTGGTTTAGGAAAGAGAGGGCATGATTGCAACTCAGGGCTCCATCACCAGGATAAATTGGACTTGTTTGGATTTTTACCCAAAAAAAGTCTTGCTAGAAAAATCCGGCAAGTCATGGAGGAATTGAGGGGTCTAGCACACAGGAGACCTGGAGACCCAGGCGTTAACAAGCTGGGAGAAGGAGTAACTGTAGGACTTGGGAGAAGGGCTCAGAATTCTTATTTTATCGAGTCAAAAACAGGCGTGGAGAGGGAGGTGACATTGATGCCAGGCCTCTGCACTCCTGGTCCCGGCTCCTTCCACAATACCTCGTGGCCTGGGGACAGTCGTGCCTTGTGGATGGCGCATTCCACAACCTTCAAGCACAAGCGAGACAACGCTCACTCCTGCATGCTGGCCCCTCTGGAGACAGGGAAGGTAACATCTGAAACTAGCCGCCCTAATGATCAGGTGCTGCCTCTACCTCCCCGGCTGAGAATGCCCCGGGGGCAGCTTCCCTGCTTGCTCCAGACGGCCAGAGGGTTCTGGAAGACTCAGATGCTTTGGGGGCTGGAACGCGTTAAGCCAGGCACCGGCCAAGAGGAAACATCAGGACTCTTCTGAGAGGGAGTATCCGACAGAAATGCTGCACACCAAGGTGAAGGAGAGGGGCAAAAATACTACTCAACCGGGTCGCTTCCCACTTTTCTCATGGAATTTTTTCTTTTTTTAATCCGAGCACTTGTCGAAGGAACACCAATATTCATTCACACACAAACACACCCTAGAGGAAGTACAGGAAGGATGTAGAAAATAATTATGGAATGTGGCCTCCAGCAGCAATGAGACAGGATATGGCAAATCCATCAGACCTTGCTAGATTTGAAAAAGTTAGACCGCCTTGGCAAAGAGGTGCTATCCCGGCAGCAATTAGTATTGCATAATAATCTAGTAATCTTTTCTCAATGTGTCTACCCCTCCAGCGAGCTCCCTAGACACTGGCCACGATTTCATACCTTGGATTTTTGTCAAGTTCTAAGGACCAAGACTAAAGCAGACAGGGGGTGAAATATGCTTTTTGATTAACTCTGAAAAGAGGCATAGGGTGACCTCGAGTCCTTGTCAAGGGTTAGTTAAAAAAAAAAAATAACCAATATTAACCTACTAAGTTGACTAAGCTGATTCTGACTGAATACAAGGCATCTGAAAATCTGAATGAAAGTACACCGAGATTTACGAGTTGGTGCTTTCCGCCAAAAGACAGAACACAGGAAGACAGCCACATCACACAATCGAGTTACGTAAAAAAGTCAGGAGACCGTCTTTCTCTTCCACAGGAAAAGGATTATTTTATTAAGTATTTTAAAACAACTACTTAACATTTACTCATAGATAAAAATATTTACAATTTCACACCTTCAGGAAGGCTCCAAAATATAAACACTGTACCTCTCCCTTGAGAAAAAATTATTCTTCTCTTCAAAAACAGGAATACATTCATTTTTCTCACTTTGTAGATCAAGTAATTATACAAATAAACATCTGAAACATTTTCCTTTTTAATATATTTATATTATATATATTTATAACAGCTTTACAAATAAAGGCAATGACTTTATAACAAAATAAAAACAGGAAAAGAAAAAGTTAAACACGATCAGCGATCAGGCATAGTGCATTGTGAGAAGCCGGTGCAGGGCTAGCCGGACGAGTCAGGGAAAACAAGTACTCTGGACCAAAAAATAAAACTTCTTCTAGGGAGACAGAATCCTTTTTAGCAATAAGGACACTCCATATGCCATTGGGCAAGAGGAATTAGCCTACAGAAAGGATCTTGCAGTGCCAAGGATTGGTTAGGCCTCTGAGAAGCTAAGCTTTGTTAAAAGGAGTTGTAGGATTTAAAACTGAGTCTAGCTGTGCCCCAAGGTAGCAGTTTGTTTCTCAGCTTTGTGAACTTTGGGGTGCTCAGGGCGTCTGCATCTCTCAGACTCTGGTTTGGTTCCCTGGACAGCAAGTACGAATGGTGAGACCTAGAAACAGGTGCCAGAGGCCCAGGGAAGTCCTCCCTCCCTAGAAGCTCAGCTTGTAAAGGTGGCCATTTTCAGTTCCTTAGTAAGCTAATCACTACGAAAGCCTGAGAAGGGAACTACATTCTCTTTATTCATCCGAGGCAGGGGTGGGGAGCAGACCTGCGGAAATCTCCCCAAACCACTACCGTGCTATACCAGTGTCTGCTACCTCACCGCGTTAGCAGAAAGCTCAGTCTGACTGCTCTCTCCCTGGCGTCTGGTGAGTCATGTCCACAATAAAGGGAAAAGGGTGGGGTACCAACAGCTGGCTGGGAGCTGTGCTCTGGAAAGCCCTCTTTTGAAAGTACCTTTTGCTCAAAGCCACAGACCCAGCTCCCAAACTGACTCACAGACCAAGACTTTGAAGCTTGTGAAAATCCAGCTGATTTGTATCAAAGGGGGCTATTCTCTGGGTGGGGAAAAGTCCAGAAGCCTGCTACAGACGCCCCCGCCCCCCATGTCAAGCAATCCTTCAAGACTTCCCTGTGCCAAAAAAAGCTTTAATGTGCTATACCAACACGCAGGCACACGTGCACACGCACACACACGTGTACACACACACACCCTGAATCTTCTTCCCATGCCTCAGATTGATTATCTCATTATACACAACGGAACAATCACGCTGCACTCACAAAAACATTTTTTTGTTGTTTTTTGGGAAGCAGGGAGGAAGGAGAGCAAAGCAGTAGGATTCCCCTAAAGAGTTTAGTCTTTGGTTTCTAAGTTTAAAGGGGGGATCTGCTTCAGAGCTTGGAGCAAGACAGAAGAGTCGACAGAAGGATGGGCTGGCAAGGGAGAAGGGAGTCTCTGGGGCATGAGCAAGGGAGTCGAGATCTTGTCTGGGTTCATGAAGCTGGTGAGGGCTGCAGCGGAGGCATTGAGGCCCGGGTATAGCACTGGCACAGAGGTGGGATACCAGCACTTCTCCAGCATGGGCAGGTAGGCAGTCGCTGATGGTGGGATCAGGTAGAAGGGCAGGCAAAAAGGAGGCTGGTGTGGGTGTGGACCCAGGTATGGGGAGCTGATCAGGTCACTGCTAGTGAAATGGCCTTCATCATCTGAGAGCTGCATTCGGTTCTTTTTTGTTGGGGGTTCTTCGGATTCTTGCTTAATGGTGCCGACCCTTTCTCCCATGGTGAACCTGCGTCCGTGATCGCTTTTGAAGTACAGCTGCTCGCTGCGCAAGTCTCCCTTCTCTGATTCTCCTCCATAGCCACTGTCTGTGTCCGTGTCACTGCCGCTCTGCTCCCCACTCGAGTGAGCGAAAGTCCGCTGGATGACTGGCACACAGTTTTTTCCAGGGCCATCCGAGCCTTTGGCCAAGGAGTTGGGTTTCTCCTTGAAGTCCATCACTTTGGGAGCTGGGTCTGACGGCTTCCTGGAGGTACCACCCTGCAGCAGCTCAGAGACCACACGGTGGAGGTGGGTGACAAGCTGTGAAGACTTCAGGTCGCGAGTGTTCTCGTGCTTGGCCAGATACTGCAGCACCTCCCGAGCACATGTCTGGAAACCTGAGCAGAACATCTCTTGACCTGCTTCGACACTTCTCCCTGACAGCTCACCTGGGGAAACACAGATACAAAGGAAGATGTTTCAGAAGTCTCTGTGGTACACCTGATTACCTATACTCCAAACACAGGGGACTTTTCTTTAAGTTAAAAAAAAAAAAATCACATTTGCCAACTTGTGTTCCCAACTCCAAAAGTAATATGCTCAGAGAAAAATTACACTGAACAGTATAAAGAATAAAGTAAAAATAAATGATAATCCTATCACTCAGAGATTAAAATATAATTTTTCTTTTTTTGAGTTGAGGGTCTCACTCTGTTGCCCAGGCCACCCTCACAAGCGGCATGATCATGGCTCACCGCAGCCTTGACCTCCTGGGATCAGGCGATCCTTCCACCTCAGCCTTAATACTATGGGACTATAGGCGCGTGCCACCATGCCTGGCTAATTTTTTTACTTTTATAGAGACAAGGTCTTGCTGTGTCCAGGTTGCTCTCAAACTCGCAGGCTCAAGTGAACTTCTCACCTCAGCCCCCCAAAGTGCTGGGATTACAGGCATGAACCACCACACCCGGCTGAAATATGATTTTTAATGGCTGCATAATATCCCATCATAAAAATGGAGCATAATTAATAAAGACAGACTATTTGCCCTCATGTTGAATGTATAGGGTGTCCCTGGGTTTTCATCGTAAGTGACGCAGCAGTGAACATACTGGTATATTTATAAACCCGAGTCAATCTACAGAACATCAATCTCACGGTGGCAAGATGGGCAGAGGCCAGATAGTCATAAAATGAAATAAAGAATGAAGGAACAACTATCACCTAAGGTAAGCTTATTTTCAATGATTTGTAAAAGTTGCAGTCATGTGTAACCTTTAATTAGGCTATTTCTTTCCCACATATTCAATTCATGATCCTCAAGAAGTTATCTTCCTATTTTATTTATTTATTTATTTATTTGAGTTGGAGTCTCACTCTGTCGCCCAGACTGGAGTGCAGTGGCTGCTCCCGGCCACCGCAGCCTCGACCTGCTGGGCTCCGGCAATCCTTCCGCCTCGGCCTTCCAAGTAGCCAGAATTACAGGCATGCGCTACCACGCCCGGCTGATTTTTGGATTTATTGTAGAGATGAGGTCTCGCTGCCCAGGCGGGTCTCCAACCCGCGGGCTCAGGCAATCCACTCACCTCAGCCTCCCAAAGGCGCGGGATTACAGGCTGAGCCACCGAGCCCGGCTATCTTCCTATTTCTAATGAGGAAACTGGCAGAAGCACTTGCTGGGCTCTTGTGATTCTCATCATACTAGCCTTGGAGAGGAAGCAGAGAAGAATGGACAGAGGGAGTGAACAGAATAATTTTCCCCAGTCTGCACAGTATTATGTGTAAGGGGTGAGACCGGAGGGTTAGCAGGTGACTCTCATTCTCTGGAAGTCCATAGAAACGAAAGATGAAACTTCAGTGGTTTCGCCAGGTTGTGCAATTCACTAAGATACCTAGTGGCTATTCAGGGAACCACATGAAATGCAGGAGAAACTCCCGCCGTATCCTGCCAGGATCACACCACACACCAAGTGAAAAGGAGGTAAAGAAGCTGGAAAACACTGGGGCATACAGTAGTCTAGTCTCCAATGAAAGCGGGCAAAGAAGGCCAACTGTAAAACACCCACAATGCAAATTATAGGTGCCTTGGCATTTTAAATCGGAGTCGGGAAGTCTCTCAGAACCCAGAGACTTTAAAGCCAAAATGCCACAGAAATATTTTATCATTTGAACTAATATGTATTCATGCCAGGTGGCACACAGCAGCATTCCAAATGAAAAGTCTGACCTTTCAGGAAAGCTAAAACTGCATCTCCCCCAACGGATGTGCATAAGCAATTTGTTGCAGGAATGTTTCTTACATCAGATGTGGAGCCCACGGGCTCTCTGTTTCTGCTCAAACTCTTTCAAAGGTGATAGGCAGATGCAGCACTCACCAGCTTGTAATCCGCTCTGCAGGGCAATGATTTTCTGCTGCTGCTGATCAATTAGGTTTGTTAGTGCTTTCACATGCTTCAAGGTAAGTTCAAGAACCACTGCTTTTTCCAAGTGACCCAAAGTCTGGAATAAAAAAGAGCCTTAGTCAGCGGTGAGGTCAGAGAAGTCCCTCTCTGGGTCACTTATTAGCAATAAGAAACGTCTTTAAAAGGAAAAAAAAAGGTAGAATAGCTTTTCCTGGTTGGCTAAATTTAGTTTTAAGTCGGTAGATCATGTTTTGAAAAAGATTATGTATATGATTGATTGAAGAATAAAAAATGGGTGTCATCTATCTTTGGAGGTATTTTGGAAGCTGCAACCACCTCAGAAAAAAAGCTTTGACAGATATATTTCTCCAGCAGCCTCTGCTGACCTTAACTCGGGGGAATCCGGAGATAACATTTCTCCGCAGTGGTGTCAACCCAGAGAGGGACTTCTATTGTGGCTGGCAGCCAAAAGGTTTTCCCTCACTTCTTTCCTGACACCCTTTCAGAACTTCCAGCTCATCCAGGCTTATTTCTCCCTCTCTCAGTACTACTTTTTTTTCTTTCTCTGTCCAAAGCTGCCAAGTAGCCGCTGGCTGCTGTCAAGAAAGGGCAGGCCATAAACATCACACGCCAAAGCAAGTCTTATTTTTTAAGAAAAATGGCGAAGAAGGAGAGGCAGCGGTAAATAAAATCTGAGTGTTGCTTGGTTTGCTCAAGTCAGGAAAACTAAAGAACCCCGAAAAATCACCAGAAGGGGAACTCTTCAATTTTTGAAAAGGAAGGCCAGCTGGTGTTGGAACCAAACTGGAGAGGCGAGGCAGATTCCTGCCTCTTGTGCGTGAGGGTGCCGGAAAACCCCAGGACTAGGGAAGGGTATCCCGACATAGAGCCACCCGCCGGGTCTGATCCGCCTGTCTGGTCTGCAGTACCCCCACGGGTCCTGCAGGCGGCGAGTGACCCCCGCCCGCCCTCTGGGCAGAGGACCTGGGTTGGAGAAGGGCCAGCTTCTCGCTTACTGTAAGTTTGAGATGTTCGGGTAGGAGATCCTTCAGCTGGGCGATGCACTCGTTAATCCGGTCACGTCTCTTTTTCTCGATGAGCCTGTGCGGCAATTTGTAGGTCTCCTGCAAGACGCACGGGGAGGCGGTGGGCGCCTGGGGAAGGGGATGCGAGGCCGCCCCTGCTGTCAGCCCCCCGGCACAAGACGACTCGGGCAGAGGAGCAGAGTCGCACCCAGAACCACTGTCTGCCCCTTCTTTACAAAGTCACTCAGTGGAGGCACCGAGCTCACACCTTGCATCCGTCCCCCCGCCAGCCTCAAAGCCAGAAAACTTTTCTTGGAAACTCAGTGCGCGCGAAGGGGCCGGGGCGCGGGGTCCCGGAGGGGTGCGCTTACCTTGCTGTCCTCGCTCCGCTTTATTCCCCGCCTCGACTTGTACACTTGGTACATATGGGCGAAATCCATCCTGCAAGGAGAGGGACCAAGGAGGGTCGTGACTTTGCGTGCGCCCCGGCTGCAGCGCCCAGGCGAGCAGGAGCCCCCAGATGCGCCCTGGGCTGCTCCAAGTTGGGAGCGGCACAGAACACCGGGCTGGCGTTGAGGCTTGAAGGGACCAGGGGGTGCCAACTTACCCTGGTAGGTCTCCGTGCTCCAGTCCTGGCGCTTTGGGCAGGCAGGCCGGGGGTGGTTGCGCGCTGGGGATCCGCTCCATGGTGCGGCGAGCTGGGGCCACTGCGCGCTCCTATCGGCACTAGCTGAGCGTCGGGGTGAGGACTGTCCAAGAGCGGGCTTCGGAGCGTCTCTCCGCAGAGGTTCCCCTGAGTCTGCGGTCCCTGAAATCCCCTGGGCCGCTGAAGCTACGGCTTAGAGATGCAGCTTCAGTTGGGGGCGTGCACGGCCCGGTGTCCCCGCGGCCTCTGGCTTCTGCTCTGCGCACAGACTGGCGGGGTGTGCTCCCTGCGCGGTCTGCGCCGTGCGAGCCAAGTGAATGAGAAGTGGGGCGGGCAGACGGGCGGGGAGGCGGGAGGGAGCGCGGGGGGGGCGGTTAGAGAGGAGTGGGGGGTGGGGGTAAGCCAAGGAGTAATGGAGAGGCTGCGGGCTGGGTTAAATGGGAGCTAGTGGGTGGGTTGGAGCTACGTGTTCTACCCTGTGACTCCAGGCACGTCTGGCCGCTGCCGGGGAGGGAAGGAGCGACCTGCCCGCCCTCCCCCGGCTTCATCACATGAGTCTCACGTGTTGGACAACGCTCTGGCGGCTGCTAGGGAGCCCCCACCCCCAGCCCCGGCCCCCAGGTGTCTGCGGCTGCGGCCGCCTTTCCCCGAAGAGGGGGTGGCAGCGCGGCCTGGGTCCTGCCCAGCTGGGTGGGGGGCGCGGAAGCTGGAAGGGACCGGGGAGCGGGGGGAGGGGGAGAGTTGGTAACGTGGGCGAACCTGCCCCAGGGAAATGAAGTAAGTTCCCGTCTCCTGGGAGGGAACGGGGGAGGACGGATCCGCCCGCGTCTGACTCAAGCCGGGAGAGGAATATCCCCTTGCTCGCTCCGGCCCAGCCCTCTTCCTCCTCCCCCGCCCGGCCCGCTCGGCGGAACCGGCGCGCAGCGGAGGGAGTCGCCCGGCCCCCCTGCCTTCCCCAGAGGCTGGGGTTTCTTTCCGTCCCGGCTTCCCTGCCCCCCGCCGCTCAGCCTCGCGTCCAGGAATTGCCCGCCTTGGGGAGGGGCCGAGGGGCGGGGCGGATGTCACCCCATGGGAAGCGGGCGGGCG